GATCTAAGACATCCGTTAGATCCCTCGATCCTTCTGAACCTCAGCTTCCTTTTTCTTAAAATGGCAATAATAACTTGCAGAATCCATGCGATGATTAAGTAAAATAGCTTCTGAAAATACCTAACACAGTGCCTGGCTCATCCAAGGTGCTCAGTAAGGATTCACTCCTTCCCTTCTCTTCTGGGTCTCCAGAATGTCTAAATTAAGCCATTCTTGCTTCATAAGGTGGAGCCTGTCCTGGATCTCGGACACAAAAGAACTGTGTGATTCCTTTGTGTTGAACTGCTGCCATTAGCATGTGCCGTGTCTTTAAAATGCCTAAAATTCCATGTGCTTGAGAGCCTGTGCAGTGATCTGGCTGGTCATCTCTCTCCTGCCTTTTGTCCCTGGAAAGAAAGCCCTGCACCCAGGGGTCAGTGGTTGCTGTAATAGGCCCGCGGTTCCTCCAGGGGTATTGCGGGTAACCGAGGAGGCAGCTCGGATGGAGTGATAGGCTGCACTCGCCTGCGTGGGTGTGCGGGGGCCTCCCTCTGGCCCCTTCTGCTTTGGCTTTAGCCGACTTGTGGTCTGGATCAGGCTCCTTTAAAAAGGCAAGTATGAGCTGAAGGAATTTTAATAATAAAAATTGAAATTCTGAGTCTGGTAAAACCCTAGAACTATGGGAAAGCAATAAAGGGCCAGTGAAACTCTTGGGATCATGAGGCACAGACTGCGCCGTGTTCCATCCTTTACCTCCCTTACCTCTTACAGTTCTCCCCATAACCCCATGAGGCTACACATTGTCATTAGCCCTAGTTTACAGGCAAAACAGTTGAGACTGAGGGAGGCCAACCAGCTCACCCAGGTTCACATACCAGCTCTGGCGGGAGAGTCCAGATTCGTAACCACTGTGCACGCCTGTCTAACACAAGGTTTTCCAAAGTAAAGATGCGTATGGTATGACATGGGGAAAGGGAGATGTTTCCATGGTCAGTATGTTGAGAATCAGACACAGACAGAATCTGAGTACATGATCAGGTTTCCTTGTCTTATGGAGACAGAAGAAAGTCCATGCAGTTGGGATTCATGGCAGAGAAATCAGCTATGCTCTAGGACCAGCCGAGCTGCAGACCCCATGGCCCAAAACCTCACCAGCAGCCATCTGAGTGAATCATGCCGGGCCTTCTGGAAGCACAACAGCCTCATACTAGGCCCAGCCTCAGATGCTTGAGATCACCCACTGCTCGCTCAAGATGTGCTAGAGACTCGCCTCCCCTGGTTCACAAGTTCCTTGTCATTCCTGAGGCTCACAGTGCCCCCTGTGATTGCAGGGAGCAGCTCAGTCCTCATGCATCACCCCCAGTCTCCCTAGGCCAACAACCTGCCTGTCCAGAAGCCTTCCTGACCCCGTGCTCAGAGCCAGAGCAGGGGCGAGTTCTCACACATCTCTAGGAGCCAGGCTTCCACGACCTTAGGCCAGCTATGAGGCTTTCCTACCTGGCAAGAAGGGACCAACTATCTTTAATTCAACTGCTGTTTGTCAGGCCTCTGCACCGTGCTAGGTGCTGATGATACCAGGAAGAATAACTGCTATACCGATTGAGAGCTTCGGACAGCCTGGGCTCAGATCCTAGCTCTGCCGCTTCATAGCTCCGTCACTTTGAGCAAGTCACGTAACCTCTCTGTGCCTCAGCTTCTGCATCTGTACCATGGGGCCTACAGGGGCCTGCCAGCCTCGGATTGTGAGATTTTATGGGTGTATTCTTATAACGCCCCTGGCACAATGCCTGGCCCACAACAAGTGCTGGGTGTTGGTGTCAAATGATTGCTCTGTGCCAGCCTCTGTACAGACATTATTTCGGGTCATCTGAACACTGACCCATGAGGTAGAGAACGTTGTCATCTCATTTTACTGAGCGGAAAACAGAGCCACACTGTCATTTCCCCAAAGTCACAGAAATGGGAACTTGTAGAGCTGAGATTGACCCACTTCTGCCTGCCCCTGGAGCCCGTTTTATCCCCACACTCCCTCTGAACGTCTGTCTGTCCTGGCTGTCAGCAGAGGAGGCAGCTCTGTCATTTGGAGAAGGCTCTGACGGGGGTTGGGGGGTGGGGACAACGACAGGCGTCAAGTGCTGTAGAGGTGAGAACAGTCATCTCTGAGGCTTGAGGAGCAGAGGCTGCCAAGGCTAAGAGCATTTCTCCTTGGTTGCTTTTTGAGTCCAGGAGTGTACTAGTAACGTTTCTCCTCTTCTTCTTGTGCTTATTTTGAGGGCTGTCTGTGTATCTTTTCTTGGCTAATTAGCCTCTTACAGAAGTTAAAAAGGAATGGAAGAGGTAATGTCAGGGCATTGCTAAGAGTTTGTGAGTCTGCCTCCCTTAAGTGCTACATTGTGCCACCACTCATGTGAAGCCAGAGTCCCTGGCCCCGTGTCACCCACTGTTCTCAGTCACATGACATCTTTCAATTAGGGGCCATAGGTCATCAAAGTAATCCCAGTAATCCCAGCTCCTCACTTGCTAAGAGGTGGGGGTTTGGGCAAATTCCTCAGCTGCTTGTGTTCTCAAGGGTGAAAGGGAGATGGTAGCACCCACCTCCTAAGGCTGTGGAGAGCTTAGATCTGCGTCTAGGACCTGCCTACATTCGAGGAATGGTAGTAGTTTTGTTATGAGCAGCAGGTTGCTCTGTGAGCACCAGCTTAGGGGTAAGATGGGGATTGAGGGGGGTGGGGCAGGGGGCTCGAGTAGAGGACAGAGAGGAGGACCAGTGGGGAACGGTTTGGCGGTCAGTGTTCTGCCGCGTGCTGGTGTGCTGGCCACCAGGTGCCTCTGGCCGCAGCCGCTTGAAGGAAATGCTCACAGAGAACCCAGTCCTGGTCACTGGAGCCTGGAAATAGTTCTCACGCATACAGATGGGCCCAAGAGTCCCCTCGTCCCCATGTCCCCCCTCCTGGGTGCTAAATTTAGGCTGCCGTCCTGGGAGGGAGAAACAGGGAGAGGAGCAAAGGGCAAAGCTGCGGAGAAGCTGAGAGGCCCCAGCAGGCAGGGAGCCGAGGTGTGAGGAGGCCTGGGCCGGGCCTCGGGCTTCCTGTTTCTTCCGTTGAAAAGTCATGAACTGGGGGTTTTCTGTCGCTGTGAGGAATGGAGGGAATCAGCACCAGGCTGGGCCTGGGGACTGCCGAGGCTGCCTGCATTTCTGCTGATTGTTGCCCCAGGCCTGCCCTCCGGGAGGGCTCTGGTGGGTAAGTCTCTGATGAGTTCAGGGCCCCGAGATGCTCTGTTTTTTGTGAACGTCACCTGCAGGCCGCGTGCTGTCCCCACGAGAATCCCCTGTTCGAGTTGGGGTTTTGGACCTGAACTTGCTTGGACGTCGATCTGCGGTGCTCTGGTGTGGGCATTTCTCATCCCACAGGAAGGCCTTCAGTGGCCATAGTGCCTGCACAGGCGGCACTGAGTTGCAGAGACCAGCTTTACTGCCACGCCTCCTTACGGTGGTACCCAAGGATTCTGACCCCGGTTGCTGATGAGAGCTGGTGGAGAAACTGTCTGTATCCCCACCATAACAGTTACTACAAACTTAGTGATTTAAAACAACACGAATTTAATATTTTATAATTCTGGAGGTCAGAAGTCTGAAATGGGTTTCACTGGGCTGAAATCAAGCTGTTGGCAGGGCTGTGTTCCTTCTGGAGGCTCTGGGAGAGAATCCATTCCCTGGCCTTTTCCAGTTTGTAGAGGCCACCTGCATTCCTTGGCTCATGGTGCCTTCCTCTATCTTCACTGCCGGGACATAGCATCTTCCAATCTCTCACTCTGATTCTCTTGCCTACCTCTGTCCCTCTTCTAAGAACTCTGTGATATTACACTGGGCCCACCCAGGTAATCCGGGATAATCTCAAAATCCTTGACCACCACCACCACAACAGAAAGCCTTAACTTAATCACGCCTACAAGTCCCTTTTACCACGGAAGGTAACATATTCGTAGGTTTTAGGGAGTAGGGTGTAGACATCCTGCTGCACACTGTCATATATGATAGAACTTCTTATTGCAGAATCATCTCTTTCGTGTTGGAGACCTGTCACCCTGCTTAAGGAACTCTGCCCCTGTCACTTAGAAGCTGTTGGGAGCCTGGGCAAGTTATTTAACCCCTCTGTGTCTCGGTTTCTTCATCTGTAAAATGCCTCCAGGATCAAATGAGTTAGCACATCACATGTCGAGATGTGTTTGCTCTTTCTTCTGCCTGTCTCTGGTTCCAGCCGTAGGCACAGCTTGTCCTTTTACCCACCTCCTGCTTTCGTAGGTTGAGTGTAGGCGCGTGTGATTGTCTGAAGGAGGTGCTAGTCCAGAGTGTGGTGGCTTGTCGCTGTACCACCACTTTGTCCCCGTCGTCATTGTTTTATATTATTCGTAAAAGCTAGTGCTGTCAAGAGTGCTGTATAGGCCTGTTAGACTGGCAGCTTTCACCTCTTTTTGAGCTGTTTTCTTGGAATAAAGTCCCACACTTGGAATCAGTGGGTTAAAGGGCCCCTGAAAGGCTCTGGAAGGGTGTGGAATGTCTGCACACTGCTGCCACACCTTATCGGTGGTGGGTATTGGCCTAAAAGGAAAAAGATGTTTTGCGTTCTTTCAGCAATGCTGCTTCCGTGCCTACCGTGTACTGGGCTCTGTTCTGAGTGCTGGGGAGACGATGTGAAAAGACAGGCACATTTCCTGTTGTCATGGAGTTTGTCTCAAGCAGAAGGCTGCTGTTTATTTAATAGCACTAACAGGGCACCTTATTATTCCTGTCATTTGCATTTCTTTGTTCACTCATTATATTAAAAAGCAGTTTTTTGGAGAAAATTTTCAGGTCTTGTGCCTCGAGGTGTGCAGTTTTAAACGTTCCGAACTCGCTGCTGTGTGTGACCTTTCTGTGTGTCTGTGTCTCTGCTGACGTCGGCCGTGTCGTGCCAGGACCCTCAGCTCCTCCCACACGGCCCTGGTTTTCTCACGGCTGGGAACATGTGCTTGTGTCCTAGGGACCGACGTCATGGTGCGCTGCCTCAAGCTGCTGAAGGAATTCAAACGGAAGGTGGAGGACGACCACGACCAGGACGACGACGAGGATGAGGAGGTCATCTCCAAGGCCGTGCCTCCGGTGGACGTTGTGTATGAGCGGGACATGCTCACGCAGACCTATGAACTCAGTAGGTTCCTGAGCATTTGAGTCGAGGAGCGTTTTGCCCACGTGTTAGAAGGGGCTCTGCTGTTGCGAATGTAGTGCAATGGCAAGCACCTGGTTCCCTTGAGGGGTTAGGCTTGGGTCAGATCTGAGTTTGAATCCTGGCTCTGCCCCTTGTCTGCCAGCTGTGTGACTTTAACAAGGTCTCTGAGGCTCAGTTCCCTCATCTGCAAAATGGGGACAATGTCCACCCTCACGTGTGATAAGGGCTAATTGAGGAACAGGGTTAAAACATTTGGGGTAGTGCCTGGCACTTAGAAAGCACTCACAAAAATTAGCTGTTAGTATTGTCACTTAAAGATTTGAGTCCCCTACTGTCTTCTAAAATTGGTCTGGAGTCAGAGCAGGCTGGAAATTCTAGTGATGAAGAGGGGAAAAACTGTCTCCCCCTGCCTCCCTGCTCCCCTAGATCTGCTAACATCTATGTAAGACAGCAGTGACCCAGTGCCCTAGATGGTGTGGCCGCAGGTCCCTGTGGGGAGGAGGACAGAGTAGAGGTGAGGTGGCTGCAGGTCTGATTCAGCCAATAGGTACAAAACTAGACTGGCGAATTGGCACAGCGTTTTTGGAGGGCTGTGTGGCAGTCTTTATCAACTCGTAATATCTCTCAGAATGGGTTCCTCAGAACACAGTTTGGGAAAAGCTGCCCTTAATCCTTTCATCCCCACTTTTAGCATGTTATTAGTTCAATATGAGAGCACATCCTGGTCACCTCTTTTCATTTTGTTGTTTACTTTTCTGCATGTCCGAGGCAGCAAAACCGCCTTTATCCAGCTTGGTTTTGCCTGGCAGCCTCAAGCGTGTGACGCAGCAGGAAATAAAGGGGGGAATATTTCTGACCCATCAAAGGGCTTTGCTGCAACGCTTGCCGCAAAGTCCGCCCTGTAGTTCGTGTGTTTTACCGGAGGGACACCCTGCAACCCCCACCCCACCCCACCCGGCTCCTTCCTGGAGTCCCAGTCCCAGAGCAGTCCAATAAATTTAACAGGGCCTCTTAGAGGCACATACGCTAATAGCACCGAGCAATGACAGCGTGTGGCAGGGCGGGAGCCAGCAAACCAGATAGAGCACGTAGTAGAGCACAGTTGTCCACTGGTCATTTAGTACGGGGCCAGATAGCGTTGTGTCCTGCCGTAGCCCCTGCTGGCTGACAGCTGTTAACAGGACAATGCGATAATCAGTGTCCATAATGCCTTCAAGGCTACCGAGAAAGACAGGGACATGAAAAAAGTTCTTAATTTAAAATTATTTTGATGCTTTTTAAAAGAGTCAATTTCATTTATCTGAAAAAGTCCTTTCATGTGAAAAGGCTAACTGCCTGCTGCTGAGTAGAAACAATGTTAGCAGATCAGCAGTTGATCACTTGACATTTACTGTTTTAACATGGAGGAGTCAGACAGTGAGCACTTAAAAATTAGCCATCAGTAGCAGTGTTCAGAGATTCTTGGGAGGGGAGGGAGAGAGGAGGCATATATTTTATTCTGTTGGTTTCACTGCGTTGAAATGTCTGTGCTTAAGAAAGGTGGGTGGGAACTGACTTATGCAGAGCAGCTCCTTTGCGGAGCTTGGGGTTCAAGTACATTGTTTCACACAGTTGAGCGCAGAGGCACGAAAGGAATTTCCCAAGCTGAAATCCGAGTGGCCATGAATGTGGGGAAACTGGAAGCAAGAATGCTGTGTCGCCTTCTTCAGAGATTCAAAATTGTCAAGGTAACGCCGTGAGTCACCCGCACAGTTCTTTTCTTTGGACCTGCACGCAGTGTGATTATGAAGGAATGTCTCAGATGGCCTCCCGTCTCTGTCAAGGAGGCAGATGGCTGTCCGGGGCCTGAAAGCAGCCCCTGGGCATAGCTAGTCTCCCCTTCATTGTGGTTTTCACAATTTAAAAATGGAATGAGTTGTCCACATTGAAAAGTCAGCAGGAGATGCGGCAGCATGGGGAGCACACTGCCATAGGGGGACAGTCAGCTGAAGCTGGCTAAAATCTCACCACCTCTGAGACAAAGTGGGGGCTCTCCAGGGTTCCACGGTCCCCATTTGGCCCTCCCTCTCATTTATATACTTGCTTGGCTCCTAGGGACATCAGGTTGGCTAACTATGCATGTCTGGCACTCCCCTTTTGGAACTCAGACCTGCTGTCTCAGCCCTTTGTGTGTCATTTTCTTCTTGTCAACTATTTGGCCATTTTGCTGAAAGGCAGTATTATAGTCGAGCTAATGATTGCAGAGCCCTTAGCACTGTCCTTGGTGTCTGGTGCTATATAGAAGGTGTTACTCTTGGCCATTAAGGGCCCTGGGAGAGCCCCTTTCCCCTGTCCTAGAAGATGGAATGGGCATGGATTGGTGATGACCTGTCATCACTCCCCACGGCAGGGCCTGAATGGAGCTGGTGACCTCCAGGCCCTGACTCACTAGTCTGTGACAACAGTTATGAACCGTTGAATTCTGCGTAGCAAACACTCTGTTCACTGACCATTTCTCGTGGGCCTGGTGCTGTGTCAGGCACTGAGGACATGTGGAAGACCAAGTGAGGGCCCTGCCCTAAAGGAGCTCACGGTCTTGTCAAGTAGACACACAGTCAGGATTGCAATTTAGAAAACCACCTCCCACATGGCTGTGGAAGTGGGACTTGAGGGATGACAGACAGGAAGACCCATGACGGAACATCGATGGGCCTAACCTGGGGCCCAGGCAGCGAGAGGGAAGAGACGCAGGTCAGCGCAGGAGTGATAAGGAAGTAGACCCTGCAGACCCAGGGGTCGCTTGAGTGCCTTTGTGTTACAGCACCCTCTTGAGTGTGATTAAACACCTCTCATCCCTCCAGGGGTTCATGGAAGATGAAGGGCGGCAGCGGACCACCAAGTACATCTCCTGCGTGTTTGCAGAAGAGAGCGACCTCAGCCGGCAGTACGAGAGGGAGAAGGCCCGGAATGAGCTCCTGACCACTGTGAGCTTGGCCTCCGTGCAGGAGGAGTCCCTGCTGCCTGAAGGGGAGGACACTTTCCTGTCCGAGTCGGACAGTGAGGAGGAGGGCGGCCGCAGCAGCAGCAAGAGGAGAGGCAGAGGACCGAGGGGCAATGTGAGGTCCTCCTCCAGCCTCAGTCTCAGGACTCAGCCTCATCACTCCACCCCAGCCAAGGGTAGGCGGTACTCTCGGGGCGGGCTGGGGGAGAGCGGGCAGGGGGTGCTTGCCCTCAATCTGAGCTGCTGCCGATCCCGCCTTGCCCTGGATATCTTCAGTAAAAACACCCGTTCAGTTCAGCAGACACCTAAGGAGCTCCTTGGTATGTCCTAATCTGGGACCTGTTGGTGTCACTCGCATCACATAATCATAAGTTTGAGGAGACAGTCATGTGGTCTGTCTCCTGGCTGCTTGCAAGTCAATTCTTGGCAAATGTTTTGTTTGTTTTGTTGTGTTTTTACTATTAAAGGGGTGGAATTCCATAAACTTCCTCTAGTCTCTTCCCTCCAACAATCTATTTAAGAACCCTGCAGGTTTTTAGTTTAGTTACAGAAGACTTTTTAAAAATGCGTGAAGGATGGTACCAAAGACAGATCTGCAAATCTGGAATCCGCTAAGAGGAGGGGCACCATGCTGCTTGCTTGACCCACCACACTAGTCTTTAAAATGACCACATGGAATCCTTTGGCTGGCATGGGTCTGGTTTGGCTGCCGAGCATAAATGCCCCTGTCGGTTTCCCCCTTGACATGGCCATGGTTCATTCATTCTACTCCTGCCCTCCACCACAGGTGGGTGGAAAGTCGTAAACCTACACCCATTGAAGAAGCAGTCGGCATCCTGCCCAGGAGCTGCTGAGGGGAAAGCCTTCCGGAGCTCTGCCAGCAGGGACAGCCTCCTGGATACCAACAGCTCCACAGACCCCAGCGTGTCCTATGGCTCCTGCTGCATGGAGAATAAGAGTGGTGACATAGCTGTGATCGAAGAGGTCAGGCTTGAAAACCCAAAGGTGAGTGCTCACAGTGGGAATGCACTTTCTCTAATAAGGAGCCTGTGGCAGGTGGATGTCAACCTTATCAGTTCGGTACTTAAGAATCACAACAACAACAAAATCAGTAACAGTCAAAGCGCCACTTGCTGAGTGCTTGCTCCGTGCCAGGCAGTGGGCTAGGTGCTCATGGGAAGTAACACTGTGCTCATTTATCTATCACCGTTACACAGGAATCATGCCCTGCCAGAAATCACCTGCACCGTTATTTACACAATATTTTCTTTTCCAACAACTTACTCTTTTTACATAAATTTATTTTGGAGGAAAAATTTGTATGGCTAGTTTAGATTAGTGGTTCTCACTCTGGGCCAGTTTTGCCCCCAGGGAACATTTGGCCATGTCTGGAGACATTTTTGATTGTCATGACTCGGGGGAGAGGGTGCTACTGGCATCTAGTAGGTGGAGGCCAAGGATGCTGTTAAGCATCCTAAAATGGGCAGGACAACCCACAACAGAGAATTATCCAGCCCAAAATGTCAACAGTGCCAAGGTTGAGGAATCATACTTTAAATGAAAGCCAACATCATTTACCGTAAAAAGAAGGTAATCATAAAATAGATATAATAAAACATCCTGGCCAGATTCTGTTGTATGTCACAGTGTTATGTACACAGTAGAATCAAACCAGTACTCTTTCATCAGTGTAATTAGAAGACAATTGACACAGGAACGCCTTTCTCATTACATGATTCAGTTCAGTAATGCTGTGCTTTGTCACTTGAAAGTGCCTCTGATACTGCCAGGGGCACCTCCTGCACTTGAGAAACACAGTCAGAGGATGAGGCACCCAGCACAGAGCAGACTTGTGGTCAGGGGTGGCTTTTGACGCTATCGCTGCCGTTTTGTTCAGGCTTCACAGCAGCCCTATAAGATAAATGTCAGCTCTGGTCGGGGTGGAGGAGAGTGAGGCCCCTAGGGACTGAGTGACTTGCCTGCTCAGTTAATGACAAAGCCAGGATTAGAACCCACATGTGTGGAGTTCCCACCCTGCCTTGCTTCTCCCTTTCTGGTATGGAGGCCTGTGCTTTGGTACTATCCGTACAGCAAGAGTGATGGGGCGTGGGGTGGGGAAGGTTTTCTGTGGGTTTTTCTAGAACCTTCTGGGCCTTTTTTCTTTAGATGCTGCAACTCATATCATATCAAGTCATGATTGGTATTGTCTCTAACTGAAGAACCTGGGCCTGCTGGCGGGTAGAGCCCAGCAGGTTCTCAAGGGTTTTACCTGTCTTTCTGGCCCACCACCCCCTTTGCACCTTCTAATCAGGTCCACATGTCTCCAGCAGTGAGCTCCTTCCAGTTGCTTCCTAGGTCAGCTCTTTCTCTTCCTCTTAGAAATCTATTCCCAAAGTAATGGCAGAAGCTTGCCCTTCTTTTCAAATACCTGTGGAGAAGAGCGGCATCAACTACTACCTGGAGGGTGCTTGGCCAAGCACGTTTGCACTTTGCTATCCAGCAGCCCTATGGAAAGCAACCAGATGGTTTTCCTCCAAAATGTGTGCTCTGACATGCAAGAGGACACAAAGGTCTTTCTGCCACTTCTGGGCCCCTTCTCGATTCTTTGCATCTTTCACCCCTTGAGCCCTTCCCCCTTCAAGAAAGAAACTGTGCCTCCCTGGAGCTCATCAGTCAGCAGGGAGGTGATCTGGAGTCTGGCTGTTCTGACACCAGCACCGAGTAGCCTCCTTCCGTGACAGCACTGCTCCAAGTGAGGAGGGCGTCCAGCAAAACAGGCCCTGGGCTGCTATGTGGCGCTGATTTGTGCCAAGTGATTTGCGAGAAATATGTTAGAGTTAGGATTTCCTTTCCCTTCAGGGTGCACATTTGGGCTTTAACGTACTTGATCCGAGGGCAGATGGACAAGTTCATTTTAAGCTCCTGGAAGACAGAAAGGAGCCATGAAGAGAGAAGTGGGCATTTTGGCAAGAGTAAGAGAGAGAGCGTTGATCTCTCTTCTCTTCTCATTGTCTTTCTCTCCCCACTCATCCTCATTTACCTAGGGACAACCTGTGCCGAACTCAGAAGCCTGCCTCTGCTTCTATCTTATATTCCCAGAGAGCCTTCCCTGGGCTTCCTCTATTTGGAGGCAGAAGCCCGTGAGGCAGAAGCCCATCCTGTTGCACAGTCATACTCTGTGACCCTGGACGGTTACTTCACCTGTTCATCATCTACAAGAACCCTGGTTTCCTCTTCTGTAAAGTGGGAACCATAATAATAAGGTGGTTTGAGAGTTTTTGATGAAAAAAGCCTAATAGAGTGACTGGCATGGAGTAGTCTCTCAGTAAGTTGGTTTCTTCCCTTCCACTGTGGAAGAACCAAGAGGAGATTGAGTGAAGGCTTTCTACATCTTCAGGAGGTGCTGCAGTAGATGCCTCTAATTTGTGTTCTGAAACCAGCTGATCTTCATAAAGTTCTAGGATCCTCTGCTGGCAGATGTCTTTGCTATTTCAAAGCACTGAAATTGTGGGGTGGTGGAATCCAGTAGGGGAAATAGTCCTCTTGACTTTACTTCTTGAAACATGGGTGTAGAAATTCCATAAAAAGGGAAAGTGCACCTGAAGGAGTGGTGTCTGACCCCCAACCTTGCTGAGCCCATGGTGTTCATGTGCTCTTGGTCCCTGTTCTAGGAGAGTGGCGGTTCCCAGAAGACGGGGAAGCACGGCCCAGGCCAAGACAAACCCCATGAAACTTACCGACTGCTGAAACGCAGGAATCTGATCATAGAAGCTGTCACCAACCTCCGCTTAATTGAGAGCTTATTCACGTAAGGAGTAGTCTGTCTCTCTGTCTTGGACTGACTAAATCTCATGCCAGTTAGTCATCCCAAGCGGCAGAAATGCCCAAGAGGCATTTGAATCTCTCTTCCGCTGTATAGATTCTCGTAGTATCCGTTTGTTTGTGTGATTTGGAAAGTGTAGACAGTGAGGAATATCAGTACACTAGACAGGGAGAAAATGACTGAGCAAGAAGTGGAAGTCATGGGGAAAGTGCATTTGCCTCTCTTCTTCCTTGGAAACTTGGTGCTAAGGAAGAGGTGAGAAGAAACTCAGGCAGATAATAGCATCCACTTACAAACTTTGTTTTTGGTTCTTTATGGAGCCTTTTGTTATTTTTTATCTTTTATTTTTATAACTTTATTTATTTATTTTTACCCCCAAAGCCCCAAGTAGATAGTTGTGTGTCATAGCTGCACATCCTTCTAGTTGCTGTATGTGGGACGTGGCCTCAGCATGGCCGGAGAAGTGGTGCGTCGGTGCGCGCCCGGGATCCGAACCCGGGCCGCCAGCAGCGGAGTGCACGCACTTAACCACTAAGCCACGGGGCCAGCCCTATGGAGCCTTTTGTTAAACAATGTCTTATATGAAAGCAAAAACACAAGAGACACAAGTAGAACTTCTGAGTTTGGGGTGGAGCACAGGCTCTAAACTCTGGTTTGGTCCTTCTAACCCATTGTTACCACCACCTCCTGGGCAGCATCTTCAAGGCTTCCTAGACACCCAGTGTGAGAGCCACTCAATTAGAAGGAGCTTACCTTGGAGCCTGGGATGTGAGTTCCCTAACTAGGGGATGGGAGACCATCTTCAGATACTGCTGCCTCGGTCTCCTCCTCTGGGCAGTGAGGGATTTGGCCAGGTGTTCCTAATGTCCCCTCTGGCTCTCCCATTCAATGATTGGTGATCTAGAAACAACACCATAGTGTCTCAGTACTCTCTGGAGAGTGAGATGTGTCAAGAGAGGAATCAAGAAGAGCTTCAGATCTGTGGGTGTTGACAGTGGTACACTGGAACATTCTTTAGCTGGATGTTAAATTAGCACGGCGACTTAGCGAAGACAGATTTCCATCATGGTGCTCACTTTCCCTGCCATCATTGTCACAAATCATGTAGTCTGTTTAGTTCCTGGTGAAAGGCTCAGAATGTGAAGCTGCTGTGAATGATGGCTTGTCTTTTGCTAAATCATTTATCACAAAGAGAGATGATCTTTAATATCTCAGGAAGTCAACCTTTCAGTGGTGAAACCCACTTTAATTCTTCCCTAGTTTCTACTGGATACCATTAGGCGTGTCTCGGTTGCCTGGGTTGAGAAAGGCCTTCCACGATGAGATTGGGAATATTAACTGCTTATTTTGTGATGCCCCAGGATTCAGAAAATGATCATGGATCAGGAGAAGCAAGAGGGCGTGTCCACCAAGTGCTGTAAGAAGTCCATTGTCCGCTTGGTGCGGAACCTGTCGGAGGAGGGTCTGTTGAGACTGTTTCGGACTACGGTTATTCAAGATGGCATCAAGAAGAAGGTAACCTTGGCTCTCGTGACGCCCACAAAGCCAACCGCATGCTGCTGGACGTTTTCTTGTCTGGCTTCTCGTGTCCTTGTTGTATCTTGGTTGTTCCTTTGTTGCCAATAACTCGGAATTTCCTGTTAGGCCTCCTAATTTGGGGAACAGGGATCATCCCAGCTTTCTATGGAAGCTGGAAACAGAAAAGGGGAATAACTTGCTTGGATCTTAGAGCAGCAGGTACAGCTCAAGGCAAGTGTCCAGCCCTGTAGCCAGCCTTGAAAGAGAGGAAGGAAGGTGGAGGCACGCTGAAGTTCAGCAGAGTAGTGTTGGGAGAAATTAAGCAACATTTAGAAGGTGGAAAATTTAGACTAAGCAGCAAGAACATTTTCCGTGGAGAGCTGAGGAAACGTATCCCAGAGGAAATGATGGCAGCGACTCAATTAGAGTATGCTGCTGGGGTTATCCAATGGGGAACAATATATCTCTTCTGTCTCAATTTATCTGTTTCTGTAAAATTTAAAGTTTGGGGCCATTCCCATAGCAACTGTAGCTCAGCGGCTTAGCACATATTCTAAGGCATAAATTTTTCAGGGTTGGAATAATTTGAGAGAGCCCAGCCAGCACTGGGCCGAAAGGAAACGGTGCTGTGGGGACAGTCACTTGTCATTTCCTGACGTTTTTTTCTATGTTTTAAATCTCTGCCTTAAGAAAGCTCTGCTTTGATGTTTTGTTTTCTTAATAAGCTGTCAAGGTCATTTCTGTTTTTTTTTACTTTATCTTATTTTTTGAGACATTTGAAATTTGAAAAACATAGAGCAGTACAAAAAACGACTTAAGAAACACAGTTTCAGGGCCAGCCCAGTGGCACAGTGGTTAAGTTCGGCATGCTCCACTTTGGCGGCCCTGGTTCACAGGTTTGGATCCCAGGTGTGGACCTACACCACTCGTCAAGCCGTGCTGTGGCGGCGTCCTACATACAAAATAGAGGAAGATTGGCACAGATGTTAGCTCAGGGCCAATCGTCCTCACCAAAAAAAAAAAAAAAGGAAGAAACAGTTTCTACTATTCCAAGTTGGCAGCTCTCCTCAGATTTTACATGTGCTGTGAGTGCCCTTGAGCTTGCCCCCCTCCCATCCCCTTGAGCAGTGGCGTGAGGTCCTTGTGCTGGTCTCTCTCACTGAACAACAAAGCCCCCACCCATCAGCAGCAACCCCTCTGGTTTCTGTTGATCTTCACAGAGCAGGTCTTCCTGGCATGCAGCCTTCTCAGGGCAGTCGCTGAGGGCAAGATCTCCTCCAGTCTAGGAGTGGAGAGGGCAGTCTGGCGGAGGTCTCTGCTGTGTCCCCGCTCCTGTTTGGCCCCATGTCCAGCAGGCTGTACTGGAGGGAGCAGGCAGGGGTTGGGGGTGGGGAGAAAGTGCCGCAGGTAAACCTTGAGGATCACACGGCCTCAAAACTGAAGGTGCCCAGGACTGGGGCCTCGTGCCACAGGGGACCACTGCAGCGGTACCGCTGAATGGCAGCCCGTTTGTCCAGCCGGCACGGGCTGTAGTAGTGCACACCTGCCTCCAGAACAGGCTTAAGTTTCTCGGCAGCATGGTCTCTGGCTCCCAGAGCACGTGCTGCCAGCAGGCAGCCTTCTGATCTATTGGAGTCACGTTGGCTGGAGTTGCTGTGCCCACAGGCTTTGCCTTTGCTCCTGCATCTGGCCCTGTCCGTTGGGCCTTTGGGAAGTTGGCTGGGCCATTTGGCTGTGGGAAATGAGGAAATAGGAATGCTTTGTCTTTACACCGTGCTTTTAAATTCTTTGAGGTGTTACCTAACTGTATCTCATTTGAGCCTGATAAAACCACAAAAAAAGTTGGCGTGGAGGGAGGAGGGGTCCCCATTTGACAAATGAGGAGCAGAAGAGACTGAGCCAAGTGTGGCCTTGTGGAGCCCCTGTCCAGGCGTTGCTGCCTGTTCCCTGTTCCCTGGGCCTGTCTCAGGCCATTTTTGGCACGAAGCCTGCTGGCCAGAGTTACACATTTAGAAAACCTTACCTTGCTCTGTCCTGCCAGTAACAGAGACAAAAAAGAAGCCTGGCTCTCCAGGGGCCCAGGCTGGCATGCCTTGCCTTCTACTGCACAGCTGTCACACTCACACCCGTTCTGCTCACCTCCACCAAGTTATTTCCATTTGTCATCCTAGATATCTCTCCTGGAATGGTAACCACCCTAACTGTTCAGCTTCAGTACCTTGGAAAAGGTAAAACAACAAAAGCAGCTCTAAATCCTCTGCCCATTTGTTCAGAAGCACGCCTGGCAGGTTTCCCACGATGGCACTCAGTGAGGGGAGATTAATGAAAACTGCTCACCTTTTCCAGATGGAAGCCCTCAGGATTCATGAGCAACTGTGGGAAATTCTCAGAGAGCAGGAACAGGGCGTCGGGAGCGGCCCACCAGGGAGCAGCAGAGACCGGTGGGCTGTGACAGCCCAGCACGGGTACTGCAGGGCAGACCCTCTGTGTCCAGGCCAGAATGCCTCACCTGGGCAAAGTAGCGTGTTACTGCTGGCAGAGCGTTAATACTCGGTCACTTGAGGGGTTCAGATGCCAGTAACTAACCACAGACTGTTCAGCAACACATTTTACGTTAGTTTCAGAACTGTCTTTTGGAAATGTCAGTGAAAACAGGTGTAACCAGTGTTCCACCAAGGAACCAAGTTGTGGAACTCAGTCTCCCTCAGTTCCTCCCCTGCCCTTTGGGACACTCTGACCCCTCTCTGCAGGTGGATCTGGTAGTGCACCCATCCATGGACCAGAACGACCCTCTCGTGAGAAGTGCCATCGAGCAGGTTCGTTTCCGGATCTCCAATTCAAGCACAGCCAACAGGCAAGTGGCAACACCCCATAAGAACCACAGGAAAGTGCTTGGGTCTACGTGTTCACTCCTGAAGCAGTTTTCACAGAAGCCCTTTGCTTATACAGTGTGAGATCAGTGAATTCGCTGGTTTGGGGTTGTGGTTCACAATCCTCTACTCTGTACAAGGATCAGTTTCTGGATTCTTTAAGAAAAAAATCCTAACATTTTTAATTCTATTCTAATTGTGGACAGACTGCTCCAAATCATAGGCCCTGTGATGTATGAAACTCGCTCAGTCTCATAATAGCTCAGAATGATTCTAGTTGCCTTTCTGAGGTCTTCTCTAATTTTATTCCTAAATCACCTCATGGACTGATAGGAAACTGAGGGCCGGGAGAAAATTCTTAGCTGAGTTTAAACCAGCGGTGCCACATGGTGGCCAGAGGGCTGGATCTGACTTGCAGACGTTGGTTTGTGTGGCCTACCAAGCGAAGGCCACATATACTTTGAATCAGTTGCCGATTAATTTCACATCAAATTCCTGATTTCTGGCGTTTGTGCAAGTGTCCGAGGACCTCACATAGTGGGCTCTCCTCCTCACAAGGTAGCAGCTGCCCCGTAGGTGGGAGTGCACTCTCCAGTTCAACACAGTCCCCACCATCCTCAGATGTCTGGTGGCCTGACACATTTTTTTTGTTTACGTTATCTGCCTGGCCCCCGTGGGCAGTTGAGTTTGAAATGCTGGGGCCGGAAGGCTTCATCTGACTCGTGAGGACAGACCTTGTCCTTTCTCTCAGCCCTCGGGTTTCTCATCATAGTATTGCTCTCGTGTTTGGACTGCAGAGTTAAAGTGCCCCAGCCTCCAGTGCCTCAGGAGGAGGCTGAAGAAGAAAGTCAAGGAAAAGAGGGTCCGAGTGGATCAGAAGACTCTCAGCCAAACGCTTCCTCTAAACCAGAAAGTGGACGGGTGAAAAAAGCTGATAAGAAAATGGGCATAACCCAGCTTAAAAATTATAAGCCTGTTGTAGGTAAAAGGCAGCTTCTTGTCGATGTCTGATTGTTGTCACTTGTTGTTTGCGTGATCATGTTTGAGTCACTTGTTCTACATTTGAGCACTGGGCTGCAGTCAGGGAATCGGGTCTGAATTATTGGCTGGGTCATGGGGGGCTGGTCACATGACTTCTGCCGGCATCAATTTCCCCATCTGCAAAACGGGGATGATTCAAGCCTTCATTGACAAGTTTGAGTGTTCATAGAATTTTCCCAGAGTCAGGTCTCTAAGAGCGTTGCCTCCTCCCTCATCCCCCAGCAAGCCGCTCTCATGTAAACCTGTGCAGGGCAATTGCAGCTGGCAGGGCCTTCTAATCGAGGTGCTTTGCTCCTCTCCTGGCCATAAACGTGCATGTTGATGGAGGAGGGCAAAGGTGACTCACCAGGGCACAGACTGCTGTCAAGCAGAAAATGTCCTGGTAGGGAACACAGCAGACCCGGGGCTTGCAAGCAGGAGAGGTCATTTCTGTGACTGCCCTTTCTAAGGGTTCCAGTCACGCAGTGTGGCCTTTTCTCCCAAGGTTTCACAGTAGAAAGTACAGACTGAAGGAGAAACACGGGCATGGGTGTGTGCAGCTGAACAACACATGCTCTTGAGTAGATGAAAGGCAGCGAGGGTGGTCCTCAGATGGGCACCACGTGACGGTGGAGAGGGGTCTTCTGGTCACTTGTCCTTGCTGCCCTGATCCTGTGTCTCCTTTGTCTCTCAGCTATCCTCCCTCACTGGGAAAGCCAAGGAACACTTGGTGTCAACAAAGAAATAAGCTACTTAAAAGAACCTAGATTTTGGAATATTTTGCCCAGTCCCCATCAAGCCAGGAGTCCTTATGCAGTGGTCTATCAGACCCTCCATGGTGGCTCCCTTCACCATTACACTGGCTCATCTCCTGTGCTCTCCTTCCTTCCTGCACCCCGTCACTCCAGCCTCCTGGCCCTTCCTCAGATGTACCAGGCACACACCCATCTCAAGCACTTTGCATTTGCCCTGGATGCACGTCCCCAGGTATCTGCATGGCCCGCTCCGTCACCGACTTGAGGACTTCACTCAAGGCCTCTCCCCAGTGCGGTCTTTCCTGGCCTCTGTGTGGAATTACAGCCCTCCTCCCTGCCTCCTTGCTTTATTTTCTGCACTAGCATCTTCCTTCTAAGGTCTTATTTTAGGTATTTTGTTATTGTCTGTCCTTTCCCACTAGAAAGTAACTTCCATGAGAGTAAGAACATTTGCTGTCTCCTTGGCAGCTGGGATGTAGTGGCACTCAATAGTTTTTGAATGAATTGAACTGGGTTGAATCTGGGATTTCTCAAGCACCATCCTTCCCCTTTCTTGCCTCAGTTCCTGGACTTGGGCGTTCTCTAGGGTTTCTGCCCAAAATGCCTCGCCTCCGGAGGGTCCACATGTTCCTGTGGTACCTGATCTACGGGCACCCTGCCAGCAACGCAGTGGAGAATCTGGGCCTCAGCAGTGAGAGGAGAACGGGAAAGCAGGAGCCGAGCAGGGTGGGAGCCCAGCCCTGCTCCGCAGTTGACTTGGAGGCCTCCTCTGATGCCCCACCCGAGGACAGCCTAGATGGAGCCAGCCGGGAGGCTGAAGTGGAGCTCGCCACGGAGACAGGTAAGATGCCCCGGGGCAGGCAAGCCACAGTGGGATCCAGGGGAGAATCACAATGATTCCTTGTCCTCATCATCTGAACTGGCTGAATCCCCACGCTGCCCTGATCAAAATAAAGACATAATGCAAACTTCCTGAACCTCTGGGCTTCCTGCCTGATAAGTAGGGTTGCCTGAGTTTGTGGTGAGAGGGAATCAAGACCTACTGGGAGATGATATCACCATCATGACTGGGCCCCTGTCTCTGATTTTCTCCTAGTATACGTGGATGAAGCCTCATGGATGCGCTACATCCCTCCCCTCCCAGTCCACAGGGACTTTGGCTTCGGCTGGGCTCTCGTCAGTGACCTTCTCCTTTGCCTGCCGCTCTCCATCTTTGTCCAGATTGTGCAAGTCAGCTACAAGGTACTGGCAACTCCCAGGCTATCATGAGGGCTGGTCCTTCAGCTCCAGGCTGGAGGGCCTACAATCACCTGGTCAAGGGAAAATACTTCAAGACTTGCAGTTGCTTAGATGGATGGATGCATAAATAGATAGGATGGATGATGGATAGATAGGATGGATGGATGGATAGGATGGATGGATGGGTGATGGATAGGATGGATGGAGGATGGATGGATGGGTGGATAGGATGGATGGATGGATGGGTGGATAGGATGGATGGATGGATGGATGGATGGATGGTCAGTCAAGGGAAAATACTTCAAAGACTTGTTCTTCTGGATAGATGAATAGATAGATAGATAATACATTGGATGGATGGTTGGTGGGTCAAGGGAAATATTTCAAAGACTTGTTCTTTCAGGTAGATCAATCAATAGACAGACAAATAGACAGAAAGACAAATAATTATTGTGTAACAGTAAAATATGTTTTTAGAAATTTGGTAAATACAGAAAAAGAAGAAAACAGAAATTATCATAGAACTTATCCATAACTTCATCACTTAGAGAGATATCACTGCTAGTGGTTTTGGTACATTTTCTTCTGGTCCTGTTTTCCTGTGCCATGTTTGTGTGTACATACATGCGTGTGTATGTGAGATCTGCCTTTTGTTAAAACTAATTTGAGGCTATACTGTATTTGCTCTTTTTATCTCTTCTTTCCACTGAACGATATATTGTATTTTCCACATCAAATTTTAACTTGATATTAAGTAAATTCCTAGTATTTCTTCTCATGCACATACCCTAATTTATTTAACCAGTACTCTGTTAGGTTCCAATTTCTTGTATTAAATGACATGTTGATGAATACCTTTTGGTAGACATATTTAAGGGAAACCCCAAAATTTTTTCTTTAAGGTAAGGATAGAAGTAGAATCACTGGCTTCAAAGGGAATGAGCATTCTTCTTTTTTTTAAATATAAATAAATATATTCCTATATTGTCCCCCAGAAATGTTTTAGCAATTTGTATGTTCACCAGCAGTATATGAGGGCTCCTAGTTATTGCACCCAGCAGTGTGGCAGGTGGGCTGGAAGGGAGGGGTGATGAGACTGAAGGCAGAGATGTGGGAAGTGTAGGGGGGCAGGAAGGAGGGGGCTTTGTCACCAGGGGGCCGATGGGCAGCTTCAGAGAGACCATAGCCCAGAAAGTAGAGGTGAGTGTTTTTTCACGGTTCTTGCAATTCACCCTGGCCTTGAGGGTGAGCTGAACCTGAAAATCACCTCTTAGGTGGACAACCTCGAGGAGTTTCTGAATGACCCTCTGAAGAAGCACACGCTCATCCGCTTTCTCCCCAGGCCTATCCGGCAGCAGCTTCTGTACAAGAGGTGAGGTCCCTGAAACTGACGCAGAGTGGCCGCGGGTCCCAGCAAGCCCCTTAAAGTTAGGGTTCCGAATAATCGCTCACCGGGAAGAGGGAAGGTTTCTGCCTTCCGGGTTGTAAAGACTCGGTTTTCATTAACGCAGCCACCTGTGAGCCTTCTGAATAAAGCTCAGGGGCAAATGAAGTGTGGGCTGGTACATTTTAGTACTTGATTTCAAGGTTCTTTTAAAGTAAAATCTGCTGGTAAAGACTACAGTATCGGAGTGGTTTTCTCCTTTTGTTTCTTTTGCTTTCTAAACCAAACCCCCGGTGTAGGATCCCTGCTCCATTGCCCTCATTGGGTGCTGAGAAGGTGGTTCTGGGGCTCAGTATAGAGCAGGCCAAGCCAGTCCTCCAGGTCCCCGCAGGTAGAAAGGGGAGAATGAGCAAGTTGCATCCCTCGCGCCCCAGATGCAGACCCCCAATGACAGCTGAGTGTGGTGTGATTGGAGCCTGCACTCCCCCCTGTTTTGCAGACGGTACATCTTCTCGGTGGTGGAGAACCTTCAGAAGCTGTGCTACATGGGGCTGCTGCAATTTGGTCCCACAGAAAAGTTTCAGGATAAAGATCAGGTAATGTCTTTCAAGGCCAAATGAAGATGGTCCTGCTGTTCAGCACAGTTTCCAGCCAGCTAACCCGCTGCTGATTCTGAGGTTCTCGCCTCACCCCATCCATTGTCTCTCTTGCAGGTCTTTATTTTCTTGAAGAAGAATGCCGTCATCGTTGACACCACCATCTGTGACCCACATTACAACCTTGCCCACAGCAGCCGGCCCTTTGAAAGGCGTCTGTATGTCCTGAACTCAATGCAGGATGTGGAAAACTATTGGTTTGATCTGCAGTGCGTCTGCCTCAATACCCCGCTAGGTATCGTCTGTCTTTGCTGGACCTCAGTGTTTTCCCTCCGTTCTGGGGGTTGACTGGAATATAGAGACTAGAAGTCGCCCAACCTTGCTGTTTTCATACTGCTCCCCAGGGGTCTAGAGTGTCCTCGGGGCTCCCTTAGAAAGGAGAGGGGTGGGCTTCAAATGGGGCGACTCCCAGCCCACACCCCAGTGAGCCCAAGCAGCTCCACTTCTGTCTTTCTTCATTTGTTCATTCAGTAGGTATTTATTGAACACCTTGTGTCCTTTCCTGTGCCTGACCATGCGGCAGTGAGACTGACATTCTTGTGGAGAAGACACACAGCACAGAGAGAGATCCAGAGTGTGATAGGTGCTGTGGAGGAGATACACCGGGGATGAGTCAAGGATGTTTTAATGGGTGGTCAGGAGCAGACTTTCTGAGGAGGAGACATTTGAGCTGAGTTCTAATGGACGAGGCTGAGCCAGCCGTGCCCAGAGCTGGGGAGGAACATTCCAGCAGGGGGAACAGCAAGTGCAAAGGCCCCGAGTGGTGGTGGAGAAACAGAAGAGGCCGGCGTGGGTGGGAGGGAGGGTGGCAGCTGAGACTGAGAAGCAGGCAGGAGTCCGACTCTGGGGCCCTTGCAGGACATGGTAGAGTTTGGGTTTGTTCTAAGAGCAGCGAGAAGCCATTGGATGGTTGTGGGCAAGGAGTAGCAAGGTCACTTACGTCTTTCAAAGCTCACCCTGGCTGCTATGTGGAGAACGGTGTGAGGCGCACAAGATAGAAGCAGGGAGTCCAGTTAAAGGCTGTGACTGTGCAGAAGAGGTCCTCTGGTGACAGTAAAGGACAGGGGCGGGTTGGAAGGTATTTTGGAGAAAGAACCGACCAGACCTGCCAGTGGGTTGGATGACTTGGGCTTTTGGGTAAGGCCCTTGCTTGTGTCATTTTCCTCTCTGGAATGTCCCCTGACCCACGTTCACCTCGCTGATGGCCACTCCTGCTTCAACCATCACCTCTTCGAGAAAGCCTTTCCAGAATCTTTACAGTCGTCTGACTTCATTCTGTGATTTCCTTGATCACAGAAAATTTGGCTTCCATCCCCAGGGTGTCTCAAAGTGCCTGGTACACAGTTGACACTCCATAAATGTTTATCGAATGAATGGAGGGTTTGTAGAAGGCTAGAAAATCTCCAGTCCAGTGTTTTTTCCTCTAAGCCAGTTTCCATCTGGTCTTTTCTTGCCACTTCTACCAGGAGAAAAAGGATGCTGCATTCAATTTGCATCTGGGAGAGGAATCCTGTTCTCTTCCTCCTGTCACAGAGCTGAAAGATCAGAATTACACTTCGATTTTTGCAAAGCAAGAGTCCCATGTATATTTAGAATTGTTTAATGCCAATAGGGTAATGAGCAGTTGTATAGAACCTTTAATGGGTCCACACAAATTTTAGAAGAGTGTGTTTCGTAGAATCCTCTGGCATTCAGTAGTGAGCTAGGCTTTTACCATTTTAGATTTTTAAAGTGCCCTAATTCCCCTGCATTTTATACCTAGATAAAAATTTGCGAACCAGTATATTATCTGCACCAGAGTTTTTCAGGCTTGACAGCTGGCTAATTTCCATCTCTTTTAGTGTTCCTGAGCAAAAATGTGGAAGGCTTATTGAGTCTGTTAATCAGGCATTGATTGTCCCTTCATTCAGCAAACATTTGAGGGGTTCTGCCCTGAGGACTTAGGGAAAAGCATTGTGTAAATAACACGTGAGCATCCTTTAAAGCAGGGGCTCCCGGAACCTGAGTGTGCACAGCATCACCTGGGAGCGTGCTGAAATAAATGTGGATTCCTGGGCCCTGCCCAGAGATCTGGGTTCAGCAGACCTGGGGACGAGTTAATTCTGCATTTCTAGCGGTCAGCTTGGTGGTGCACATGAGAAGCATTGCCTTAAGTCCTCTTAGGTTCAATTGTCCACTCAAATGGATGATCTTGGGCAAACTCTTTGTAACCTCTGAGCCTCAGTTTCTTCATTTCTAAACTGGAAACACCACTACCGCTGCCTTCTGGGGCTGAGGCAAAGCTTGAACCAGATGTCTTATGTAAGTTCCAGCTGAGGGCCACAGGGCGTGAGCTCTCCGCACTGCGCCTCGCCCCCACCCAGGCCAAAGTCTCCAGCTGAGTGTGTTTTGAGGAGGTCTTTGATAGTCTGCAAATTATAACCTTCCTTTGCCTTATTCAAGCAATGGTTTTAGTAGTGTTTTATGTTTTCTTGCAAGAAATGCAATTTTCTTTATTGTGGAATAACTAAACATAATTTCTCAGCTAAATTAATACGCTTCTTGGGCACTCAGGAAACATCTGGCTGCTCTGGAGCCTAATGAGTCCAGGGAAAGTGTGATGCTGTGTCGAACTATCTGTTCTGACCCCTGCCAACCCTGACCCCTGCCGCCGCCACTAAGTGCAGTCATTGTCACTTCCCGCTCCTCTGTGCTGGCACCCACAGGGGCTTCCCCCAGGAAGGAAGGCACAGGTTCCTCTGCCCGTGACTCCCCGAGCCTCTTGGGCTCTCCGGGTGCCTGCTTGCCTTCCCTTCTTAATAGAGTTCAGCCTGCATGCAGACTCTTCTCGGGTTCACCCACCAGGGTTTTAACTCTCTTCCTTCTGCTCCCTCAGCCACCCTGTTAAAAGGCGTTTTGTACAAAGAGGTTCTGCCGGTTTCAGACCCTCTCCTCTGGTTGGGGGAGTCTAGTCACAGAACAGAGTCCACTCTTCTCACCCAGCAGCCCACCGTGGCCTGCCAGGACTGCAGCAGGGAGGCGTCAACCAGTGCAGCTTGTGTTTGGTTTTCTAGGTGTGGTGCGCTACCCACGTGTCAGAAAGAACAGCCCCGATCAGGGCAGTGATGAGGAGGGCAGTCTGCAGAAGGAGCAGGAGAGCGCCATCGACAAGCACACTCTGGAGCACGCTCTGGAGCGCAAGAGCGCCATGATGCAGTACACCACGTGCGTCCCCGTCCCTCCACGTGCTCCCATCCCTTGACACGCTGGCCCAGTGCAAGGCCGTGGGGGTCCTCGTCCCAGACTCCAGCTCCTCCGTGTCATGCCTTGGATGTTGGACCCGGAGGACCAGAGTCTCTGGTGCAGATGCTGCAAATTAGTGGCCACAGGCCACATCTGGCTCCAGCCCTATTTTAGTTAGCCCAACATACTGTTAACAAAAAATGAATTAGTTGCCAAAATTCACAAATTGGGATTTTTACATAAAAATCTGGGCTTTTGACAAGTTCTTCACTTCTACCTGTCAGGTGTTTTTATAGGAAGGTAAAATTTACTTATAAAAAATGCCCCCACCCACTCCATGGGCTCTCTTGTCAGTTCCCGAGGAAGGCTCTTTTACTGTTTATTTCCCGTTTCTCAGGGGCAGCCGTGATGTTGTGGATGAAGGCTTGATCCCTGGAGATGGGCTGGGAGCCGCTGGGCTCGATTCCAGTTTCTACGGACACATAAAGCGCAACTGGATCTGGACCAGCTATATCATCAACGACGCCAAAAAGGTGGGCATCCACACACAGACCACCACTGCAAGGGATCGCCTTCACTGCTCCTCCTCCTCTCTCTCCCGGCTCACGGTTTCTGAATTGGTCAAACCAAAATTGACCAGAGACGCAAATGTTTACTTCCATATGTTTTGCAAGTGTGTCAGGCCCCTTCAGTATCTGCCTGGCCTATTTATTTGTCAATTCTGTGAGGCGAACAGGTATTCCTTGTTAAAGAAGGAGTGAAAGTCTGCGAGACAGAGGTCATACAAGAGGGAGTGCGTGTGCAATGAGAGAGTGGCTGGACTGGAGAGCCCCACCCCCTGAGGCGTGCTGGGCCAGCTTCCTGGCGGTCACTGCACAGCCATCCTCAGCTTCTTCCGCAGAGACTTGCACGCCTCGGTGCATTGTCGCTCTGGGCTCCTGGGGGTCTGTGGGAGCTTCCTTCCGGTGATGTACTTGTCTTGTAGGAGAACAGCACCTCAGAGAACGGGCTCACAGTGAGGCTCCAGACGTTTCTGTCCAAGCGCCCGTTGCCACTTGGTGCTGGAGGTATGTGTGCTGGGGGTTCACCCCAGAAATAGACTTGGTCCCAGCTCGGGGCCGACACCACCACGTTTAATCTGGCTTCTGGCCCTTACAGAGCTCATCTTGAAACGCTCATCTCCTGTGCTTATTTCTAGGCAATGGCCGGTTGAATCTCTGGGGAGAAGCCAGAGCAGGATCCGAGCTCTATGCTGGCAGGGAAGAGCAGTTTGAGGTTGGCCGAGAGCCCACGCTGGACAGGAACCGGAGAGTGAGGGGTGGGAAAAGCCAGAAGCGGAAACGGCTGAAGAAGGACCCTGGAAAGAAGAACAAGAGAAAGAAAAAAGGTTCCGTCACGATCGTGGGCATTTGCTAGGCCTTGTCTTTGCACGTCCAGCTTGGAGATATACCGTCTCCCTGCCGCCAGGCCTGAGCTGTGCCCTCAGACTCGGGGTTCCATGTTCCCTTGATTTGTGGTGCTAACTTTGTGATTGCTGTTTTATTCTCCAAATCCAGCTGGCAGACTGAGAGATCCTTGAACTTCCTCTATGCTTCCCTTGCTTTCTCTGTCTTTGTATTCCATAGAGGCTTTTTACTTAGTAACTCCCTCCCTAGTTCAAATTTCTAATTTCATCTCAACTGAAAAATCCTTAGTAAATTCCTCATCACAACCAGCCAAAATTCTGTTATTTTTTTGGTTTACGTTTTAACATCTGCGTTTATGCTAATCAGGCCCAAGTTCAAAGTTATGTTGTATTTTTAAATTAGAGGAAAGACGGGAGTCATTTAAGCCTACAGAATCTCTTCAGATCTCATGAACCCCTCATGTGTGGTGCCTGTTAGATTGCCATTTTGGCTTCTTCATCTGGGTAGTATTTATAGTGAAGGAGTGCAGTGAGGAGACCAGTGTCTGTGTTTTAAACCACTTTTATATCCCCTAAGTGGTCTGTGTGTTTTAACCACGATCTGACAGCTACAGCTATTTCAGATGAAGACAGAATGTTTCAACAGGAACCTGTTTTCTTTTTCTTTTTCTTTTTTTTTTTTTTTTGTGAGGGAGATCAGCCCTGAGCTAATATCCATGCCAATCCTCCTCTTTTTGCTGAGGAAGACAGGCCCTGGGCTAACATCTGTGCCCATCTTCCTCCACTTTAAATGGGACGCCGCCACAGCATGGCCTGACAAGCGGTACACCAGTGCGCGCCCGGGATCCAAACCCGGGCTGCCAGCAGCAGAGTGCGAGCACTTAACCGCTACGCCACGGGGCCGGCCCTGGAACCTGTTTTCAGTGGTTCCCTTGGCTGGTGTTCACAACAGATAGCCTTGCGTCATTGGAAGGGCCCCTCAGTGTAGCCCATCCAGATATGTATAAGATCAGTTGGCTCACAAAGACCTGAATTCATTACAAGGTGAAATATGGTGATGGTGCCACCTGGAATCCCAGTGTTGTTGCTCTACTCTTCTTCTGCCTTAATTTGGGAGAAACTCGCTAAGCAGACAGTCTTCTGGAATTGGCAATAGCATATGGTGCCACCTTGTGAAACTGCCATCAGTAGCTCACCTGAGGGGAGGAGACCTCGGAAAACCCGGTGGTTAAGAGCTCAGGGTTCATATCCTGAGTCTGCTGCTTTCTAGGCTGAGTGACTTTTGGCAAGGTGCTCTATCTCGCCGTGTTTCAGATTCCTCAACTACAAAATGGGGATGATAACTGTATCCTTCTCATAGAGTTGTTGCAAAGTATTATTTTAATTATGAGATAATACATGTAAAAAGCTTAAACCAGTGCTTGGCACATAGTAAATATTCCATAATGTTAGCGACTGTTTATTTAGTAGCTACTTTGTACCAGGCACTGCACGAGGTGTTTTATACCCAGTCTCATTCAATCCTCAAGGCAGCCCTGTAGGATGGGCCTTGTTGTCCCCACGCTGCCCCAGAGTTTGCACAATGTCTCTGAGGTCACAGAGCAGGGGAATGGTGGGGGCCCGCTCATTTGCAAACGTGCCCTGAGCACTCTCCATAAGCTTCTGTGCAAGGCACCTTCAAAGGGCTGAGCGCCACCGTGGGAAGGATCGAAGATTGGCAGACAGCTAACAAGAGACTGCATTCAGGCTGCTCAGGCTGTCACCATGAAATGTGACCAAAGAGAAATGATGAAAGCGGTAAAAAAAATCCGTCAGGAAGGGCTGAGTCTGTGGTTAGTTCACATGGTTTCCAACACAATGAGATTCTGATAACTGATCCCCTTGGTCACATCTAACAGCGGGGTGGGGACCCTTCCCCTCTTCAGAGTGACACCTCCACACCAGTTGTTAGAGGCGCCCTTTCCTCTCCCCCGGTGTTCTTAGAAGAGCTCCCAGAAGAGAAAAGCAAAAAGCTGCGTTACCACGACGAGGCCGACCAGAGCGCCCTGCAGAGGATGACCCGGCTGCGCGTCACCTGGTCCATGCAGGAGGACGGGCTGCTCATTCTCTGCCGCATTGCCAGCAACGTCCTCAACACCAAGGTATTCGGCCCACCGGGCCCCTGCTCCTCCCCAGCCTCCAGCCAGCAGATCGGCTTGTCCCTCTCGGGGGAGCTCTTTCCCGTCCCACCTGCACAGGGAGGCTCATCTCACTTCCTAGGCATTTCCCAGGACCCTACAAATTAATGCCACTCCCGTTTTTGTATATTTCTTTCCAGCCTTCAGCTACGACATTTCAAGCTTTGCCAGCTGCAGGCAAAAGAGCTCAGAGCATTCTCTCTCTTCACCAGGAATCTAACCCTTTCCTGTTCCCCCCTCCCCTCATCTGCCTGAAAAACTCCTATTTATCTTTCAGTAACTGCATATTGTCTCTGGAAAGGCTTCATTGATCCTGCCAAATGGAAGTAATTACTGTGTTCTCTCTCCGTCCCTTGGACATAAACTTTTCATGCTGCTTCTGTTGCTTCTGGCACCTCTTGGCCCACTGGAGTGGCTGCTCCTCAAGGCAGAGACTCTTGTTTGTTTTCATAGCTGCAGCCCCTAGCATGGTGCCTGCCACACAATGGTCACACAGTCAGTATTCACTGAATCAGTGTGGAACGGTGACATGGCCTTGGCCTGGCTCCCCAGCTTTCTCATGGTTCTCTCCCCTGCCTTCTGCGCCACACGTCCCCGTACTCATGTGTCTTCCCGGCCTGTGTCTCTGGATCCCCAGCAAGCGGGGAGGGACTTGCTTCCTGTCTAGCAAACTCTTCCCCTTTCCTCTGATGTCACTGCCTCCAAGAAGGCTCCACAGCCCAAGCCAGAGTTCATCTCCTCACCACGTTCCCAAAGCAGCTTCACTGACTCCTAGTCTGTCTGTTCTCACACATTGTGCTGTTCTCATCGTCTCAGTTTGCAGCAAGGCATGAGGAGAGCAATCCAGGTGGGCAAGTGTCCGGTCACACTGGTTCACAGAAGCCCCCAGGAGAATGAGCTCTGCCATCGTGCAGTCCAGGGCCCCTGCCAGGTGGTGATACCCCAAGTAGAGTCGGTGAGGCAGCTTCCTAAGAGCCCCATTTGTGTTTCCTGTTCTCAACCATACCAGCCACGAGAAACTGACTTAGAGGTCCTGAGCCCCGGATGCTCTTTGCCTGCAGGCTCATTGGATGCCTTTTCTTGACCATTTTCCCGGATTCCCTCACCCCTCCACTCCCTCCTAAATTCCAACCCAGTCCGTTCTCCAGAGAAGAACCTGAAGGTGATGTGTTGCCGTCCCCGATTTCCATTCCCTGCCTCTACAATGGCTTTTTCATCACAACATGGTGGGAGGAGTGTGCCTCCCTTCACCCATCCTTGATGTAGCTGGAGAAGCCAGGAGAGTCCCGCACGGGTCAGGGTCAGCAGAGCCTCCACTCCTCACGTGAACTTACACCATATTCTTGGGCCACCTCGTTCTGGGGCTATAAGAAAATAATCTTGTCATCAAGCCCCTTCCTTATCTCCACTCTGCCTTCCTGTGTGTGTTGACTGTGACGTTCTCCTGAGTCTGCTAATGTAGTGCATTCTGTTTCCATTAGTAGGACCTACAGGGACAGTACACAGAATGTTTCTGAGCACACATAAAATAATGAAGCCTGTAAAACCCTCTAACTGAACACATCTTATATTCTCGTAATCTACCCTATCATATTGCCCTTCCAGTCCGTAGTCCCCGACACCCTCTGAGCACCTCCATGACTTGTCAAAAGGCACTCTTTTCCCATGGGACTTAGAGGATTTGCCTTATTCTTCTCTGCCCAGCACCTCACTCAGTGCCAGGCACATGGTCAGTGCCCAGTAAATGTGATGGAGTACATGTGTAAGGTGACAGTTTTGAGTATCTTTGAGGAAAGAGGCTCCACAGGGTGTCTTTTCCCCACTCCTTTATGTTAATGACCCATAAGGTGGGCTCTGAGGATACTGATTGTCCGTCTTGGCTCTGTTTGATCCAGGTGAAGGGCCCATTTGTCCCCTGGCAGGTCGTGCGGGACATTTTGCACGCAACCTTTGAAGAGTCTTTGGATAAAACATCGCATTCGGTTGGACGAAGATCTCGCTACATAGTCAAAAACCCACAAGCCTATCTGAACTATAAGTAAGCTTTGTTTGAACTTTCGTGACTCCAGGACAAGGTGGTTGCGTGCTCCTCGTTCATTCTTCGCTCTTCTTTCACCCCGTTTACTTAGGAGCCCAGCGTAAATCCAGAGAGGGCACTCTGAGTCGCCCAGTGGCACACCCACAGTCCGTCCAAGTGCTGGAGTTTGGTAGTCAGATTGTCCTTGGTTTTTGGAGGGCTGGGCCTGATTCCGGCACTTTCACACGCAGGGTATTGTTTGGACTTGAGAACAGCCTTGTGAAGTAGATGCTATTATCCTTTGTTACAGATAAAGAAACGGAGGCTAAACGGGTTAGATGACTTACTGGATGTCACATCTGTAGCATGTGGTGAGGCAGAGGCATCTGCTGAGTGTCACTATTGTGTTTAGCCCTCCAGAGCAGCTCTTGATCTCTGTGTCGGTGGCCTGTCACATAGGTCCCTCCAGGAAGAAGCTAGACAGGACCGCAGTCATTGGACCAAGCGCACTCAGCCGTGTCCTCAGCAGAGCTGGGTGTTCCCTACGTTTTTCCTGACCACGGCCTGGTTTGTGTGGGATGGCAGCTGGCTGGGAGTCGCAGAGCATCCCCTTGTGGTTTGCCTGTTGCCAGCGAGGCTGCTCCACTCCCCTCCTTCTCGCAGGGCTAGGACATAAAGCCATTGTCAGCCTCGTCAGGCTCCTACAACTCCTCCACAGGCTTGGGCTTGAGTGGGGAGGACCAGAGAGCATCCAAATGGTGTAGGGAGGTGCCCAGGTGTAGCTGCCAGCATAAGAGTGGGCCCGGGAGGGGACACATGGCAGGGTCGGGAAGAACCACCTCCACCAACTGATCGTTCACGCCATGGGTCCGTAGGAGAGGTTGTCTCCGGGTGGATTCTGAGCCTTGGGCTGCTGCTGTCAGCCAGACTGTAGAGAGAAATCGGCCCAGCCTTGGATTGTGGAGGAAACTGGACTCTAGCCAAAGTTTGTCAACCTGGGCACTATGGACATCTGGGGCCGGATAATTCTTTGTAGTGGGGGCTGTCCTGTGTGCTGTAGGATGTTTAACCAGTAGCACACTCCGCCCTCGTTGTGACAATCAAAAATGTCTTCAGAAGTCCCCTGGGGGGCCCAGTCACCCCAGTTGAGAACCACTGGGTTACACATACCAAGGGGCCTTCCTGTGTGAAGCCACTTTCCCCTGTGCATAGAATCTTAGACTTTTCTGTCTGAAAGGGCTATGATTACCTAGTCCAAACTCCTTTTTCAGAGTGGAAACAGGCCAGAAAGAGGCCACGAGTTGGTCAAGGTGACAGTGAGTTGGCAGTAAAGTGAGATCTGGAAGCTGGGCTTCCTGGCCCTGCCTGATGCTCCTCCTCTTGTCCCGCAGCAGCCAGGGAGGGGAACATGGGGCTGCGGGGTTAACAGGCCGGGGGCTCCATCTTCGTGCGGTTCAGAGCTGTGGGACCTGGAACAGGGCATCTGTCCCCTCGGAGGCTGTTTCCTCACCTGTAAACAGGATGCTAATACCTATAATAACCACACCTGCCTCGGCCCTCGGCACATGTGTGGCCTCAGGGTCCCCTTCTTCTCACCAAGCTACAAAATGGAATGACAGTCTCTACCTTGCAAGATCTTTCTGCAGGGTGAAGTGCCCAGCTCCTAGGAGCCCAGCAAACACTTGTCTTTCCCTGTGTGTCCTTTTGGCCAGGTCAGCCTCTCCTTATGTCATAGAGAAATGAGGAGTTGTGGAGTGGACAAACAGTGCTTTGGAGGAGATTAGAGCTCTCAGTAATAATAAACACCAGTGCCTAGATAATATTTAAACTTACAGTCTACTTTCACATAGGTCGTCTTGTTTGGTCCTGACCAAATCTCTGTGAGGGGCAGGTGGGCGTTACTGTTGTCAGTTTACACGTGGAGGACAGAAGCTCAGAGAAGCCAGCATGTAAAGTGTGAGCAGTGACAGGCCTGGCTTGGATCAGGTTCACTGACCCCAAATCCTTCATTTTTAAAAGCTATACCCAACAGGTATATAAGTAAATCCTACCTCAGGGTTAGGCAAAGCCGGAAGTGTTAGAACAGAAACCTTCTGATGGTTCTGAACGAGACATCATTACAATTCCCAGCCTTTCTTTTGGTCTCTCTCTGCAGGGTCTGCCTAGCCGAGGTGTACCAAGATAAGGCACTTGTTGGAGATTTCATGAGTCGAAAATGTGACTATGACAACCCGAAGGTAGGCCCCGTGCAATTGTTGAGTTCAGCCTGCTCTGAAGGCAGGGGTTTCTAGGTTCTAGTCTGGTCCCCTGGGTCCCATGGTGCCTCTGCCAGCCTCACAAACATGGACTTTTCTTCCTGCTCTTTCGGGAAATCAACTTATCGGTTCTGTGGCTCCCACATCAGTTTTTAAAGACGAGTAGAATTTGCAGTGCTGCTGTGCCTTGGGCCTATTTTGTTAAGAAAATAGGGTAGCTCTTCAGAAGTTACAGACAACTAGACTTCCTGGAAAGCTTATGGATAGGGTACGTGTTTTCTCTGAGTCTTCTGTCCCGGGGGGGCTGGGACGGTAACTGACAAGGAAGAAAGCTGTCTTTCAGACCCAGACTTCTCTTCCCTTTGGCTCAGAGTCCACTCGTCCCTTGCCGTTGAGCTAACACTGGTGTGCACTGTGTGTGTCGGGACTTGCAGCAGGCGAGGCCAATCAAAGTGGAGATCCAGCCCTTCCCTCCGGGAGCCGTGGGCGGAGGGATGGGCAGAGAAGTAAATGGGCACCTCAGAACAGCACGGTCACCCTGAGAGGAAAGTGTAGGCCCACGGAGGTCACCAAGGGAAAGCAGGAGTGCTTTTGATGCAAGTGACAGAAAAACAACTTAACAGGGGCTTAAGGCTTCCATTTCCCACATGCCAAGCAGCCTGGAGCTAGGCAGTCCCAGGCAATTGCAGCAGAGCAGAGCTGTCATCAAGGACCCAGGTTCATACCGTCACTTCACTCCCAGTCCCTGGTGGTCACCTGTCCATCCTCATGCCAGTCACCTCATGGTTGCCAGTTGCCTGCTGGAGCTCAGGTCTTCACAGCAGAATCCCAGGGCAGGAAGAAGTGGGGAGAGGGGCTCCACTGGGCCCACCGGGCCCTTGTATCAGAGAGGAAACAGCCTTTCCTAGAAGCCCCTGAGCTTGCCGTCATCAGCTTAGACCCGACCTGACTCATCCTGGGGGGCTGGGCCTGCTTCCCCCAAACCAAGTCGGGGCTGGCTCTGCTACTAAGAAAGAGCAGGATGAAGAAAGTGGGCGACCCACAGCATCTACTTCTTTTTTTTTTTTTTAAAGATTTTATTTATTCAGTTTTTCCCCCCAAAGCCCCAGTAGACAGTTGTATGTCATAGGTTCACATCCCTCTAGTTGCCGTACGTGGGACTCGGCCTCACGTTGGACGGAGAAGCGGTGCCTCAGGGCGCCCCCGGGATCCGAACCCGGGCCGCCAGCATCAGAGCGCGCGCACTTAACCGCCAAGCCACGGAGCCGGCCCCCACAGCATCTACTTCTGAGGGCTTTTCAAAGGTGTCGGCACTGAACCCAGACTCAGAGATGAGGCACCAGCTGAGGCCAAGGCAGTGAAAGAAGGGAAGGTGGCCTGTGGGCGCAGTAATGGGCAGCTGTAGTGAGGTGCAGCAGAGGAGGAGCGAGAATTCTGTGTTGGACCCCAGGTGACATGGTCGGTTTGCTGGCCACACTGTGGAGGGTGAATTGCAGGTGTGAGACTGGAGGCAGTGGGGAAGTGAGGAGGCTGCGCTGCGATCTGAGTCTGGACTGGGAGGGTCGCAGTGCGGGTGTAGACGAGGGGGAGGATTTGGGGTCCACGGTTGAGTGTGGCCGTGCAGGAGAAGAAGGAGGGGGACTCACAGGGTGAGCCAGGGAGGAGCAGACCTGGGAGGAGGGAGGTGATGGGAGCCCAGGCCTGCTGACTGGAGGCGTGCGGTGGGCATTCTGGGGCCTGTGTGGGACATGTTTGTGTCTCCCCCCGGGGCTCTGGAGAGAGAGCTGGCGGTACAGGTGTGAGGGCCGTCGGCGTATGGGTGCCTGCTTGGCAGCAGGTGCTCCAAATCCCTGAGCAGAGCGGTGAGCGTATGTCTCCTTCCCGGATGGACTTGGTGGGCTGCAGAGACAGGAAGGCAGAGGAGTTGGCACTTCTCAGTCAGGTCCTGGGAGCTCGCTGCCCCGGGAGCTGGTTACAAGACGTGTCTTGATGTTTCTTAGCGATACCTCCCTTCGGGGAAAGAAAGAGCTTAACATCTCATTCTCTCATGTTAAAAGGTTTGCGCCAACGAGTTTAAAGAATTTGTGGAGAAGCTTAAAGAGAAGTTCAGTTCAGCCCTAAGGAATCCGAACCTTGAAATCCCAGACACACTCCAGGAGCTGTTTGCCAAGTAAGGTTTTTCTGGGAAGGTTCTGTGTGGTCCTTGCGTGACAAGAGGAAAAGTCTGCCCTGGTCAGCAGTTCCACTTGGCCTTGCAGCTAACCCTGCTGTCCCTCCTGACTCTGGTCCACCTCATCTCCTCTCACGGCAGCTTGAAAATGGGGAGGCCACTGCCATCCCCATACCCACCAGGCACTCGTGTTCACTCTCCCATTGGGCCCTGCTGCTGACTTAGTTCAGGCTTTCTCAGGTGGCTGGTGTGCTTTTGCCAAGATTGCTCATTTGACATATGAGGAAGCTCCAAGATATAAGGAACTTGCCCAAGGTCACGGTGCTTGTGGACAGCAGGCCACGATTTGAACGTAGGTGGGTCTGACTCCAGAGCCCTAGCTCTTTCCAACTCAGCCACTCGATGTCTTGAAGAATGTACATGGGTTTGAGCACAGAATTTGTAAAATTTTAAAATCTTGATTTCTGTAAGCCAGGCCTATTTCCTCTGCTTAATCTAAACGTGAAACCCTTCTCTTCACCATCCTCATCAAAAAGTCATTCTATGGACAACATGGATGGGCATCGAGGGTATTATGCAAAGTGAAATAAGTCAGAAGGAGAAGGTCAAATACCATATGATCTCACTCATTAAGTAGTAGATAATAACAACAACAAACACACACATAGAGACAGAGATTGGATTGGTGGTTACCAGAGGGGAAGAGGGGCGGGAGGAGGGCGAAAGAGAGATAATTAGGCACATGTATGTGGTGATGGATTGTAGTTAGTATTTGGGTGGTGAACATGAGAACATGATGTAATCCATGCAGAAACAGAAGTATAATGATGTACACCTGAAATTTATACAATGTTATAAACCAATGTTACCACAATAAACAAACAAA